AAGGCCCGTTGCCACGGCTCAAGTCTTCATCCTATTCCCAACCTCTAGTCTCTTTTAGTTCACCTATTTTTTTCCCAAGAGGACGTCTGCTGCTTGCTTGGCGCACTACTCATTGACTCAGCCTCTCGGGAAATCCAATTCTCACTGTCAAATCACGCCTCAAACTATATCACTGCGGCACCGGTGACTCTTCTGGTAGATGCGGTGCGACGATCGCGCTCTCCTAACCAGCAAAAAAATTAGTAATATCATTGGATTCTGTATATGATCGGTTGGCGTACGTAAGTCCGAAGGTGGTTTGTTAGTGTCTGCAGTTTCCGCCTACGATTCGTCGTGAAATTTCGACCACCAAGACAAAGAAACTTACTCAATTGCAAGAACGGATTAAAATAATCCACTCGCAGTAGTCTGTTGGTTATTTCCGGCGACCGGAACGACCAACCCTCAAAACAGTCATTAAATAGACCGCTCTGGAATTCATTCTCAGTGCAACAACAGTTAAGAACTGCGTAGCTTCACTGAACGGCTAATAATCAACAGCGCACACTTCAGTCATCACCGTAAACGTCTACTGGCCTGGTAGTCTAGGCAAGCCTTTATTGCCAGCCATGTTAACTATATTCTGATCAGTTTATGGTTTCGTAGTTGGGTTCATGATGGCAGGTTGATGTGTGGTGCCGACAATGGCGTGGGGCAAGGTGCAGACCATATTCTCGCTTATACACGTTCAGGTTTCAATTCCTCCCGGAGACCCAAATACCTCCTGTATGCTGCCGTGACGACATTAAGTTAGGACGACCTAGGATAAAAGAGGCACCGAACAGTGAAATACGGTATTACTCAATGGCTTGAATGCAAGGAATAATAACTGGTGGTCATAAGTGAAGCTTCTAGTCACGGGAGGTAACTGAGGAAAGTCTACCGTTAAGAATAAGCTACTCTTCTGGCCACAGCCACTTTAGGGGCCGGAGTTGCAATCAAGGTGTCGTGCTAGCTTATTTTCCTGACCAAATTCTATCTCATTAACTGCTGTTCTGTTTCTCTTTCTCAATCCAATATGTCAATTTAAAGATGGATAAAGCCCACTTCCAGGGTAATTTTTCATTATGATTTTGCTATCCTACTTTGTTATTAATAGCTCAGTCACATGTTTGTGGTCGTTTAACCGTAATCTCCGCCCTAACCTTAGCTTACCCTTAGAATAAGAACGAATCTTAAACCTAACCTTAACACTAACAATAATTTCGCCGGAGTCTAACCCAAAGCCCCTGTATTACGCAGTGTCCCTATTCCTGTGTCCTGTCGGGTGTATATAAATAATTCTTACTAAAATTACAGCGAGAGTAATGGGTTTTAAGATAAAATGGTCTCTTTATGAGTTTGTGTTAACAATCTGAGACAATCAGTGGCAAACCAGACCGTCCGGCGGAAAGAGTATGTTGTCCAACCTAGTGCTCCAGCACAAGCGTAACCGCAACCCAATAAGTTGAAAACGAAAATCGGTCATTAGGTCAGGCAGGCATACAGCCTTCGCCAGACTCTGTTGAAGCCTCCGGAATGAGATCCAGATCAGTGAAAAGACGAAACTGTGGATACAAAAAGAGTCTGTCAACACATGGCCACAGTGATCAGACTAAAAGTATTCAACTGCAACGCTTACAATGTATTCCCCAATTGCTTCTGTGATAGCGCGTGTTCAGTGGACAACTATACAGCTGGCCTGAAGCAATCCGCTATATGCGCCGTTCCTGCCTACTGATTTAGGCAGCTTAGCTACATGCTGCCCAGACCACAAATTGACACTGTCCCTGACGTAACCACACGCGACCTCGGCCGTGCTTGACGCCAAGGCTGTTAACTGAAGACATAGGATAGATTGTTTTGCGGGTCACACAGTATTCGGGACTGGCACGGCAACTGACTCAAGTTCACTCTAAAGTCTAATATCGACCGATGGCAGTTGACGACGAAAGTTTGTGACAATTTACCTGAAAAGTGTGACCCGGTCGAATAACCGTGATAGGCTGACATGAAAGTACAGTATTTACCAAGCAGTTAGTTGAATCGGTTTGCGGTGTGAATGGTTACCTAAATATCAACTCAGTCGGGAGCAATTTGAGCAGTTTTGATTATAAACCCAGCAATAATTGTCTCTCCACAGGAGGGGAAGTGCGCTTTTACTCAGCTGATACAGTGTCCAGTGACTCCTCACAAATAGTAAATCATCGACACGGTACTGGGGCCGAAAAAAGGACGAAGACACTACTGTCCACATGTAGCCGATAATTGAACGGCCTGCGATGAAGGTTAGCTGCAAAATAAGCAGACTCTCGCGTTTGGCGAAAAACCAGTCGCGGACCAGCAGCGGCAATGTTAAGTGGGTGCGGTGAGTTGGAGTCTAGCACGTTAAAAGCTGCACAGTCCGATGAGGGCGTTGTGATATGGCGACCGTAAATCTGCATTGTAAAATTTCGCTTTCCACCGTTGCCTTTTGGCTAGACTCTTGAAACAAAGCGCAAGAGGAAATGATCTCGAACAAACAATCTGAGTGACTGGTGAGAACCCACCCAATTACAGTACTACGATCCATGTTATGACGTCCGCGGGAACCGACGCGCTTAACGAGACAGAAGGCGAGATGCAAGAAATACTACGGCATAAGTCTAATCAACGTTGTCGTGAATATTTTCGCTATCGTACTTCTCGGGCGATCCCAGGCTGCGCGTGGATGTGCGAACCACATATTTACATTGAGACACATCCTTTAAGTCCGCCATAGCTGCCAACAACCGACAGTCATCTCTATTGTTGACTTTGCTGCTGATTTCTACCTCGTCCATCATAAATCTCTATGGCAGATAATGATCCTGGGTGGTGTACCGCGAAGGATCATCGCCGTGATCAAGGCACGACTTGTGGTCCATAACAATATTTCAGAACCGTTTGGTATGCGATCTGACTGACTACTGTCGCCCATTCTGTTCAGCTATGCTATTCACTAGATTCTCACGAAAGCCCTACATTAAGAGGACGGTGTTGAGCTTGCACCCGAATGCCGGCTTACTGATCTCAACTACGCCGATGATATCGCCTTACTACCTTCGAACATTGGTGATGTACAATCTGTGATGTTACGGGTGAATGAGGTTGCTAAATTGGTCGGTTTTTCCATAAAACGCTGGGAAGACCAGAGTGTTGTCAAGCTTCATCCCTGTCCAGGAAAGACACTTCTCGAGATTAATAGATATAAACTTAAAGCAGACAGTTTAAAAAACCTCGGGGTGAAGCTGCTGCAGAATGAACAGAGTAAAGACGACATTGGCTCCTGAACCGATGTCCCAGGTTGGGTTTTCTCAAACTTTAGAAAGTGCATATGAACCCGGCACGACATCTTCATCACCACGAATATTCGTTTGTACTATTCATCCGTCCGGTACCTCCTCTTCTACGGCAGTGAATGCTGGGCTATACGTGTCGAAGATGAGCCAAGCCTGAAGGTACTTTATCACTACTGTTTTAGGGTCATCCTTCAAATGAAGTACACCGACTCCGTGTCAAATGAGACAGTTCAAATCCGCTGCGGCAATATCTTAAGGGCATCCCCCTTCATGCAAGAAAGAAGCCTGAGATAGGTTAGGGAAATGTGATTAGCCCGTTGACCTAATTCTCACAAAACCTAATTTAGTTATAAAAGTCAACGCACGATTCAAGCGCCTCAAATATTGCCCATGCGTAGCGGAGGCATTGCGTGATTGACTGGGTTCTCCAAATCGATGCGTTTGTGTGATACAAAGGATTGACTAGAGGAAACACATCAAGACATTAATTATACGCAGTATCCCTAATCTCTGCAAGCGATTCAGGAATGAAGAAGGATGTCTAATGCAGCATCAATGTCTCTTGGTTTAATGGCTGCGAAACGATCGCTCACGCTGCACGCTGCTAGCTCGTGAAAACAACTAAGGATTCAGTATAACCGGTGTGTTCACATAAAGAACCTGCTATCAGTTTATCACCTACATCAGGGATATGAAGCTGTCAGAGGAGAACGTTACCGCTAAGAAAATTTTAGAAACCCTGTGAAA